GCTTTGCTATGTGATTGCATGTTGTATGAAGACCCCAGGGGGACCCCGTGGCATTTGATGTAAGACCATGTAGGGTAGCCCATGGTAGTCCTAGGTGAAGACCATGTGGGGTAGCCCATGACAGTCCTAGGTAAAGACCATGTGGGGTAGCCCATGGCACTATTATAGGTTTGATGTATACATGGTTTATGTGTGATGTGTGTAGCTTTATGGCTATCAGGATATGTGATTGTGTTTGGTATGCTCTCGCGAAACTCACTAAGCGTTTCGCTTACAGGTTGTTGATTGTTGCCAGTACTTCGGAGCCTAAGGGCAAAGGCAAGGCGTGATGGCATGACATGTACTCTATCTCTCTTTTGGACGTTTAGGGACTCTCTGATGATTTCATAAAAACACAACAATGATGTAATGAATGTGATTTGGAAACAAATGTTTTGAAAACTTATGGAATATGTAATTGGATTACTTATTAAAACAAAAAAATTTCTTGTAAAATTTGGGATGCTACAGAATATATTCTCACGACATGAGAACTCTGTAGCCAAAGCCCATGAAATTTTTAGGGTTTTCAAGGTATTTAAAGGTAAGGATTCATGTTTTAGGGTATTTTCTTAGCCTCCATCATATCTAGAACCTCTAGGAGAAACCCTAGCCTCCATTTTCAAGATTTAAGCCTCCCCTTTCCTCTATCATCCATTTTTGGATTTTTTGGTGGTTTTGGAGCAATGTTTTCATGCAAGATTCATCCTTCAAGCTTGGCAATTGAAGATCTCAACTTTCATCTACCTTCTAGACCTTTGTAAGTTATAAAGTTCCAAGATTTGTTACATTTCATCTTTGGATCTAAGTGTCTTTGGTGTTTTGGTCCATTTTAATGAGTTTTGAGTGAGAGTTGGGAATAAAGTTTGCAACTTTATTACTCTCCAAGGTCCCAAGCACATTGTATGTTTCAGATCTAGACTCCAACACCTTTTTGATCAGTTTAGAATGTTTCTTGGACTACATGGACTACGAAAGTTTTGATTTTTTTGCCTTCATATTCAGTTATGCAAGTTATTTTGGTCATTTAGGCCATTTTGGTGTATTAAAGTTTAGATCCTAAAAGTTTTTGACCTTGTTATGGATAAAGTTGGAAACTTTAGCCATCTAATTAAACATCATACAGATTTAGATATGAATGTTGGAGAGTTGGACTTAATGGTTTAAGTTGAGAAATATGTATTTTTGGTCCCTTTGAGACTTAAAGACTAGATCTTGGTTATTTTGACCATTATGGAGCTATCAGGAACCATGAAAATGTGATCTTGGTCCATTTATTCCCTCCATGCAAGAGTTATGATGCCTTGGTTTGTGTATTAAGTTAGGGTTTTGGTGGGTGGACTCCTTCTAGCCATAGAAAGCCATAAAGCTGGAAACTTTACGACTTAGAATATTATTTGGGACTAGATTTGAGCTTTGGACATGAGATCTTAATGAAATAAGCACTTAATGAAGGAAAATGGAACCAGTCGTGTACGTTGGGCGTACCTGGTAGTACGCTGAGTGTACCAGGTTGGAGCCCCGTAATCAGGAAGGGATGTAGTACGCTGAGTGTAGTGACTGAGTACGTTGGGCGTACTCAATCTATGTTGACCGCCTTTGATTTTTTGATCCGTTGACTTTTTGGATCAGTTTGACTTTTGGTCAAACTTGGGTAGAATTGAGTATTTGACTAAGGATTGGTCTCGGTTTGGTTTTAGGAAGTTTGGGTTAGCTATTCTGATGCTAAGGTAGCTATTGGGCTTCTGTTGAGTAGTTAAGGTGAGTCTTCTCACAGTATTTGCGGGTCGAAGGTACCAATGTCGGCCCATTGTTATGTTACAGGATGCTAGTTGTCTATGTGACTCTTGCACGTGTTTGTATGTATACCGAGTAGGGCCCGATGTCATGCGGGGCCCACCACATATGACTGGCAGATCTTGTATGTATGGTATGTGGTATTTTGGGCCGAGTGAGGCCCGATGGATGTCGAACGGGGTCCGATGTATGTATGTATGGTATGTGGTATTTTGGGAACTCACTAAGTTTCATGCTTACAGTTTATGTTTAAAATGTTTTTAGGTGCTTATGGTTTTAAAAGGAAGGGTCGGCTTGATCGCACTGCATCCCTTGGAGATTTAATATGCATTGATTGTTTATGTTTTTACTCTGATGTTTTGAGAATACTTTTATTATAATCGTTATTTGGAATAATGAATGAATAGTTTTGACTTAATAAAAACAAAAAAATTCTTGGTATTTTTAGGACGTTACATTGCGTGTGCTAAGACCCCTGTCGATCTCTACCTCGAAAGCTATCATCGACCACCAACTATGAAGTTGAATCCTAAATCAGAAGTTGCCACCGATTTCTATTACATTGTGACTCCTTGAAACTTCTAGTAAAGAAAGAATGCACAAAGTTAAGCGATAAAGTTTGGGTATTGTTACTGAGTGGACATAAATCTGATAAGGAAAGTGGCTTTGAGGCGTTAAGAGGAAATCTGAGGAACGCGTTCTGCAGGGAAGGCAAGGGGAGAATGAGATGACGGAGTCGGCACAGTCTCCAAGTGGTGGTGAAAATGGAGTCGATGTTACGTCGTTGGTGGCTTTAAGACTAAGCGTCAAAGCAAGTAAGACGGTGATGATTGCAGAAACATGGGATCGACTAGAAAAGCTCAAGGGGGTCACAATTTTTGGTTTGGGTGTTCTTATGGTGGTTAATGCTCAAGATTAAAGAGCACGATTAAAATCTGGAAGGGTGGGGTTGAGTTGAAGTTCGGAGTAGTGGGGTGTGGTGGTACACCCATTTTTTGATATTAAAAATTATACACAATCTAAAAATAAATCAATAAAATAATGGGAAAGGTCGGTATAGTCATTCCATGTCGAGGGATGAAGCATGCAAGATTTAAACACAAGACATATGATCTGAGAAAATGTTTGAAAATAGAGACTAAATGTGTCTTTTGCACCTGTACGAGGAACAACTCATGTAATTTACTTTTGGAAATTTCAACCATAACTCGATCTATTTAACTAAATAGGTTAAACGGGTTAACATATTTAATTAAACGGTTTTAAAATCTTAACCTAACCCGCTAATTATTTAGAATAATACAAGGTTTTGTTGGCATATTAGATTTTTTTACCAGCTCTAATTTTTTGTGATAGCAATATGCATACTAAAGTCACATGCGGTTTATGCTAAGATATACTAATTTCTATACACAAGCATTCACATCACAAGGACATATATCCCCTAATAAACGCAAGTACAAGGAAACCCTTCATCATGTTTATGACATGATAGTAACAACCTGCATTTTCTACAAACAAAAATGTTTCTTAAATTCCGCGAAGGCTAAAGTTTATTATAAATTTTCATATTTGTCTAGCTATTTTGAAAGTTGTTAAATTAATGTCCATATACTAACCACACTGTTTCATTCAGTTTTAGCAGAATCAATTGAATATGAGTTATCAAGATTGAAACAAGAAAACAAAGAAAAACAATTTGAAATATAACTAGCTAACATTGCAATTGTTATCATTGTTCCATGAAAAATACTTTGATTGAAATTTGATAAGCTTTATGAAATGAGGTTTATCTAATATCCAAAGAAAAATAAAGAAAATGCTAGAAACATTTTGGTGACGAATGATTGATCGAGGGGACAAAGGTTGAGATTCATAAAGTATGAAAGTTACGTCTAACGGTTAACATCAATAAATACAACCTTTTTATATAATTAATTAAACATCTGGACTTGTACCCTAACGTACACTTCCCCCACTCTACCACTAACTAAATATCTCCGCAACTCCACCACTCCACCGTCCATCCCCATTTATATAGATAACTTTTTTTTAATATATTCATGAAAAAAAAAATCCACCACACTTATTTGTTAACTTGTTAACTGGTTTAACAGATTGATACAACAAAAAAAGTGACAAATATTTCACATATCATGATAGGTTAATGTCACACATATAAATTTACTTCACACGATAGGTTAAGGTCACAATTATAACTTCCGAGTAAATTACACGAATGGTTCATATGGTTTGATCCAATATGCATGCCTAGTCCCAAACCTTTTTTTTTTCACTTGGATGGTCTTCATTGTTTGGATATATTTCGGTTTTGGTCATGAATCAAGTTAAATGACTCTTCATGATATCTTTTAACTTTGTAAATTCTTTTTACATCATTTGTATATTATTAAATAAAATAATGAATCAACTGACCCACCATCACAGACCCACCCCACATCATTTCCTTTTCTCTTTTCTCTCTCCCTTCTTGTTTCAGTTTTTCACGTGTTTTTCCCTTCTTACAATCATCCACATCGTAGGCTCTTTCTTATCTCGTCTGAAACCAAACCCTAGCCGCCTCTCTGTGATCTATCACCCTTTCGCTGCGAACCTCACCAAAAACAAAAGTCTAGCCTCTCGTTCCTCTGTTCACTTGTCAGTTCCCTAGCCATCGTGCCCCATCATTCCTACGAACAAAAAACCTAATATCACCATTGCCTTATTGTTCTGGAACCTTGGTCCTCATATTTCAACTTTGTTTTTGACGAACAAAAAGCCAACCCGGAGTCTACAAAGTTGGCTCCTCTTTTTTATCTTCTTTGGTCACAATCACAATTGAAGCTTAAGTACAAGATCGATTTGTGGTTTGATTTCTTAGATTTGTGGAGGAAAAGGTCCAAAGGGAGTAACCCTAAGGGACATGTTGGGGTAGATTAGTGGGTCCAAATAAATAAAGAATGAAAAAAATAAACAAAACATAAGGAAAAAAAAATACAAAAATATAGTAAAGGCAATCAAGCGGCTAAAACCGAAACAAAAACAAACTACAAAAATGGTACGAGAGTTACGAACCCAACATGCAGATCACCCCAAACTATAGGGACCATTTATGCAATTTACTCTAATTTGTAGTTTAGTTTTATAATTTACTTTCTTACATTACCAATTTAAATATACACTTCATCCTCTTTTTAACAAATGTGACCCTTCAAAAGTAAAGGAAAAAAGGTATCTTTTTTCTTTGACCATTGACCACTTTGGCAAAAAAGATACATAGTTAGGCCAAAACTAAAGCAAAGTGCGAAGGGTCACTTCCGTCATCTAACACCTTGTGATTCTTCCTTCCACCAATTAACCAACTCATGGAGTTGAGTTGACCTAAAACTATCTTGACTATTATTATACACCTAATTCACTCACATGGTAAGGTAACAATGCAAGACTCATGTGATCATCATTAAAAAATTCAGTACACAAAAGAAAAAACCCAATAATTAAATACTAATTCTACAACACATGGTTAAGTTAAATAATAACCAGGGTTGGGGTTTGGGTTTCGCTGATCTCCTGATAGATGTACAATTTAATCAGAAACTTTTGCGCCATCATATGAAGATACGAAGAAAGAGTTTTGGTTCTTTTGTAAAAACCTACATATCAACACAACACACATACAGTCAATATAATCGTGATCAAAATAAAAAAATAATAATAATAATAAAAAATGTACTTGAGAAAGTCGACAAATTTTTGGTGCAAGCGCGAAACAAGATCCTCTTCTATATTCACGTATGGCAATAGATCGGGCAATTTAACTGACAAAAGAAAAAAAAATGATATAATTATTAAATGAAATAGAAATAATTAAGAGAGAGAAACTCACCGAAGAGGCGGAGTAGATGTTCAGCACCATATACGGTTGAAGGAGAAACATCATCTGAAACAGCTTCATGATACTGGTGGCGTTCTTTATTATATAAAAGAATAATAGGCAAAGCTCTGTCAAAGTAACACCTTAATCCCTTTAAAATCTCCCCAACTGAATCTGTCATCCTGTAATGTATTCAAATTCAACCACATCAATAGTAAATTACACAACGCCATTATCATCACATGCCTCTTTATAACTCTTACTTACATTCCATCTTTCTTTGATCTGTATTCAAGGTATTTTTCAAATATATCATCGATATTTGGAGAACGCGGAAGTTCAACAAGCTGCAAAAAAAAAAAAATTACTTTTCAATTTACTTCAATAATTCATAATGAGTAATTAATAACCTTATCCTGCTCATTCACAAATTCCCAATCATCCACAAGTTGTTTCTTTAAAGCTGATGGAATTTGAATGTTTATAAGTTTTTCATCAGTTGCATTCTCCTTCTGACACAATCAAACAAAACATATTAAATGAAATTACATTACAATGTAAATGATATAGTTAATTAGTTACCTCAGTGCTTGAATCGTTTTTTCGTTTCTTCCCTTTTGCCCCTATAATAACATTTATTTAAATAATAGGAAGCAAAAACATATACAAGAAATGATGTGTGATAAGTTGAGGGAAATGGGAATATACCACTTGATACTTTTGGCTTAGTTTGGGTTGACTTTCCTGACTTTGAATTTCGGTCAACGCCCTGTTTTTTGTCAAGGGCTTGTTGTTTAAGGATGTTTTCTTCGGTGTTTTTCATAAGGCGATCAACGCCTACCCATTCATCCCAACTGTTACCAAGGTAACATTATTTTAATAACCATTTCTTTATGTATTATAAAAAGTGAGATAAAATAAAAACTAAGAGAAAGGGGATATAGGAAATAAAAGCATACTCACGTTTTACTCCAACCCTGCAAAACAAATTGAAAAGTATCCACTGGTTAATATTGCAATGTAAAAAAGTCATATGTTAGGAGATATTATTTGAAACTTACAAGGTAATGAACGAAATATTTCCACTCATTCTTCCGAATCTCAGATTTTTGAACCTTCAAGATATGAAAAGAAAAAGAAAAGTGTGAAGAGATTGTATCAAAAGTACTTATGTGGTTTCAGTAAATTGATTAAAGATCCAAGCAAAAGGATAAAGTTTTACATGGTTTAACTTTTTATAAAGCGAATTATAAAATAATTGGTTTTGATCCACAATTGTGAAATCCTTTATTGAAATGTATCATGAAACTGTTAACTGACTTCGTGTATTTCATCCTCTGATTCCAAACTGTTAACTGGTTAAAAAAAATATATCATAATGTTATTAGTTTGAGTGTTTGACTTTGTGTACTAGCATATCTGCCCTCCTATCTGAATCATCATGGAGATAAACCATATCAAATGATCAAATCCTAATCCATGTGTATAAATCTTAGAATACTGATGTTTACAGTGTCTAATTGAATGAGTATTATCTGTTCTCCTATACAGATCTAAAGACTACGTTGTTGCCTCATATAACAATTATCAAATTACCCAGAAAGATTACAAAACATGGCGATTTGGAAACAAACAAAACAAAAGCACAGCTTAAATTAGCTAGCTCTACAAAAATGTTGAAATTTCAGCAATGATTGAACTCATTTTGTCAATAGTATGTTACAAATGGGACATGTCAGTAATCTATGACTGTAAAGCATTTTAATAACATATAGTCCACTTTGCCTGAAAGTGGGGGAAATATGATTCACCAGATATGAGTCTGATTCCGTGTATATCAATCCAGTGTCCCCAAATTTATAAAACCCTTCACACTTGCAAACATCATTAATATCCACAACCATCGGTAAAAGCGAGCAGTTGTCGAACTTGCAACTCCCAAATTGTTTAGATTGGGAACCCTAACATTTTGTTCGAGTCAGGTAGAAATAAACCAAACCCTATGTATTCTGGTTCTTAATAAAACGAACTAGTAGTTGTGTTCTCGTTACCTCGCTATGTTCAAGTTGTTTAATGAGTATATTAATAATGAACAGAATATGAGAGGAAATCAAAATGAACGAATGAGAGTGTGAGATCGAGAGCAGGCGAGTTAAAGAGGTGGAAAACAGTTCACATGCCTTGGCTTCGTAGATACGAGGGCCATGATAGGCGAGAACTTTCTCGCCATCGGAGAAGAGCTTGGAATTAGAATCAGCGCGACGGCGATTGGCTGCGGAATTGTCGGCACCGTTGGCCGAATCCTCCTTGGAACTCCCCATTAGCGTAGTTGCTCGGGATAAACCCGCCTCTTTTTGATTTCGTGGTTTCACTTTCAGGGGTGGTGTGTTTGTATTTGGTTCATTCCCCCCGATGCCACGTCGTCCCGCATCGCAGAATACGGAAGCGGTGCTTTGTCATTAAAAAAAATATTAAAATAAAAGAGAAATGGAATTAGTCCGTTTTATTTAATACTAAATATAAAAATAATCATTTTAGATATCTATCATATAACGAACGAGAAGATAAACGTTTAATAAGTTGCGTCGCTAAATCCTTTTGTATGGTAAAGTCAATTTTTTTGAAGACTATATTTATAGATCTATGATATATAACATTGTTATGCATGATCCGTTGTATTAAATGTATTTTTTTTTTCTTTTAATTCAAATCCTTATTTTTTTGGTTTTGTAATCCTTTTAAGTTTTAACTAGGGATGAAAGTGGGTCCAAACCCGGAACCGGTTAACAGGATTTTATACAACCGGAAACCGGACCGGTATATAGGAACCGGTTCCGGGTAAAGTGGGTCTAGAACCGGAAAACCCGGAAACATCAAAGTGGGTAGGTTGGAACCGGATAAAGTGGGTTTAGACCCGAAAAAACCGGAATTTTTTGGTAATTACTTACAACTTAGTGGGTTGAACTTTGAAAATTTTCATATTGATATCTCCACTTTGGGGGGCTGTAACTTATTGAATACGAAACCACAATTAACAAAATTAGAGTCCAAAATCATGTACAAAGTCTAAAATACACTCTGGAAAAACCCGCATGTCAATCCGAATTTAAACGAATGAGATATACCTGTGTTAATATTTTCACATAATACAAAGTACAAAAACAAATAACTGAAAAGTTGAAAATTTTCAGTTTTGATATCCCGACTTCGAAGGACTGTAAATCATTGAATGTTAAACCAAAAATGACAAAATTATAGTTTAAACTCATGTACAAACTGTAAACTAGAAGTTGAAAAAAAAAAACACATGTCAATCCGACTTCAAACGAATTAGATATGCATGCTTTAAAACTTTCACCGAATACAAAAAAAACTAAAAAACTAAAAACTTTCAGCTTTGGTATCTCAACTTTTGAGGACTATAAGTCAATGAATATAAAACTAAAAATGAAAATTTTATAGTCTAGAATCATGTACAAACTCTAAACTACATGTTGGAAAAAACCTTATGTCAATTGGAGTTGAAACGGATAAGATATGCATCTTGTAAACGTTTCACAAAAAGTGGTTCCGGTTCCGGATTTTAGACCTGGTTTACCCGGACCCAATGGACCCAAACCCGGATTACCCGGAACCCGGATAAAGCCAATTTTTAAACTCAGAACCGGACCCGGTTCTATATATTCTGGTTCTAACGGGTCCGGTTCCGGTTCCGATCCGGTTTTCCGGTTCTAAATCTCATCCCTAGTTTTAACCATGTTTCTAGGTGGATTTGGTACCTGTTAAACTTAAAATGACTAATATGTTATTTTAATTTGTTTTCTTTATTTTTTTAAACACTTTATCTTTTATTTTAATATTAATCTAATAATGAATCTCTCTCTCTCTCTCTCTCTCTCTCTCTCTCTCTCTCTCTCTCTCTCTCTTAAGAATCTAAGCTCTTACTTTTTAGCCATAAAACCCCTTTAAAAAAATTAATATGATTTTTGCCAATTATATGTTGGGAATTTGACTTTAATCCATAGCAAATTCATCAGAACCATCATCATCGATAAGCTTCACCTTATCATCTCACATTTCTAACGACTCTTCTCCAATCCCTGATCCACGCCTAAATCTTGAAATCAGTAGCTTAAACAAACTCAACTCAAACTTAAAGAAGCTCTTATCCAATTTCGATTCTGATTACAACGATGCCAAAGTTGTTCTTGATGGAATTCTTTTCAACTGGGTGTATCGATCGTATATCGCAACCGCGGACTGTATCATCTTTCTTATTTCTTCCTCAAACATCATTGAAAATCTTCATAAAAAAACCTAAATCGTTTCAGATTCTAGATTCACAACCTCGTTTGAATTTCAATTTTGAAACCTAGTTTGGGTTTTTGATTTTGTGACGTTTTCATTTTCAGATAATCAAACTCCGCTCATTGTTTATATTATAGATTCTAGATGTTTTGATTTTCAAATAATCAAAACTAGTTTCATATTTTGAGATGTATTGATTTTTAGATAATCAAAACTGGGATGACAGAGCTTCATTGGGTTCAAGGTCATCGGTGCTAAAGGGTTGCTCTGGTCGGAGATGATAAAATGAAAGGAATAAGAGTCATGTGTGGTGTTTCTATAAGTGAAGATGGAGAAATGTGTGACGCATAGATTATTGTCGGAGGTGAAACATTGTGTTCACCTGAATCTAGAATGCCAATGGAAAGAAGATTGTAAGAGGAGATGATGGAATCAAGTAGATTAGATTCGGTAACAATAATTTGTTGCGGTTTTGTGCTTGTTTTTAGTTGAGTTTCAAAGATTTGGTTTGCAAAATCGACTTTTTAAGGATTTCCAGGAACTTTTTTGCAAACTCGATTGAGAGAGGCGATGATGGAATCACGGGGATGGAGTCTTGGTTTTACTGTGTGGAGAGGGAGAGGGGGAGAGGGCCCTTTTATTTTTTTAATTAAAAAAATAAATAAGTATTAAATTTAAGAAAAATAAAATAAATACATCAAGGGTATTATAGTCATTTCAGTTTACTGAGGGACCAAATTCTGATAGAAACATGGCCAAAAGGACCATGAAACCAAAAAAATTAAGGTTTGGACTACAACTTGAAAAAAAAAAAATACATACCATAGGGACCATTTTCGTAGTTTTGTCTAAAAATTAAAACCATTGTAATTTATAGGGGTGTTCGCGGTGCGGTTTGGTGCGGTTTCGAGTCGAAACCGCAAACCACACCGCATGTGCGGTTTGAAATTTTAGAAAACCGCAAACCGTACCGCGAAGGTTCTAAACCGCGTTATGTGGTGCGGTTTGGTGCGGTTTGGTGCGGGCGGTTTGTGCGGTTTTTTGCGGTTTATGCGGTTTGAAAAAGGATATGTATTTTTAATATTATGTACATAAAATTTATACATAAATATATTAGTTATAGAATCAAGATAAGTTGGTTTTGCCAATGTTTTAACAATACTAGTCATTATTACATTAGACAATCAGATAAATAATCTATCACAAATTTGTTTACAAAAATTGAAATTGGTGATATCAAAATTCATTAGTAATAAAACCAAATTCGTATCTTCTGTGTAATTTTTATGTGTTTGTATTATATATATATATATATATATATATATATATATATATATATATATATATATATATATATATATATATATATATATATGCGGTGTGGTTTGAACCGCATTGTTATAATTGGAAACCACAAACCGCACCGCATAATGCGGTTTAACAAAATTTCAAACCGCAAACCGCACCACACTAGTTCTAAACCGCATTAGGCGGTGCGGTTTTGTAACGACCCGTTCCCGGTATGTTGATTTATTGGTAATTATAGTGAGTTTTTCAAGAGGGACTCGGCGAGTTCTAGCCTGACTCGCCGAGTAGGGTCGCGCCTGAGGGCACGCGTAAGCCGGGGACTCGGCGAGTCCATCCGTCTGGGTGAAACCCTAAATTCCCCGGGTTGCCCACTATTTAACCACCTTATAGCCCCATTCTCGCCTCCCTCACCCTGAGAA